CCTTCCTAATAAAAAATATTTTCAGTTGATTTAACGTACTGCTTCCTTAGGGTATACAAGTTGAGTGCGCAGAGCAGTTATAGGCCTGTGAACTTCCTGCACCTGGTGTCTTTTCAACCATCTTTCAATGAGCACAGACAAATTCTTCACCAAAAAAGAGTTCTTCGGCCGGCCGGTTTTAGCGTTTGGGTGGTAGTAACTTTGGAACTACTTTTCGCGTGGAACTGTGGTTGCCGTTTGCATCAACTGACCAGGCCAGGAAGATATTGTTGTAATGTTGCCAAAAAGTAGACTTCGTACCGCCCGAGACGCTTTGTTTCAATGCAACAAGGAAAACCACGATCAAGGTCGTGAGCAAAGGAAGTTCTTTATTGTGTCCCTTGCACGGGGTTTTAAGCAAGGAAGGTTATCAGCCGGACCAATCAGATTGTGTCCTCAGATTGTTGATCACTATCCCGGAAAGCTTCACGTGACCTCGGCTCCTTGGATGTTGCACGTGCACGCGCGGTCTTTGTGCAGACTGATAGCGTGACCTGAAAGGGTCTTGCCAGTGTTGCATGCTCGTTAGGACGGCTGCTAACAGAAAAAAAGTTCTGAGAAAAACAGTCTAGAAAGATATTTGATTCCTGTTCGATAAAATTCTTAATCCGGCATCCCAACGCATTTAGGTGGAACATGGGAATGGGAATCCCTGCAATACCGGTGATCACGTGCCAAATTCTAGGGACGTTAAGGTTAAGAATAAAATTTGTCTTAGGGGCTTAGAATCATTGGAATAAATGCTCTTCCTGCAATTAAACGCAAGGTTTTCCGCATTACGACGGAAGGGTTCCTACTCTTGTGTGTTTTATAGAATAATTTTTTGTTTATTTTTCTCGGAGATTACTTGTGAACGAAACTTGTGTAAATTCTCCGGCAAAAACTTCCTTAGGGTCGGCTCGGAAGGCCTACGCTTTAAAGGCCAACTGCGTAATATTTACGCTTTGCCAACAGACAGTCAGTAGTATATAAATGCGAATTTATTTTTCCTTCGCCTATACGACCGCTCTGTCCAGGCTGCCCGGGAAAAGCTTTTTGTTTCACTCCCACAATTCGGATGAAGACCTCGATTTCTCCACTACACCACTGTTCATAATAGTGTCAGTCATTACGCGAATTTGACTTCTTCGACCACAGGTGTCTGAGCCGGTCATGCTGGATGATACACGCTTCATGAATTGTCGTCATCTCCCCTCACTGAGAGTATTTTTAGACCATCTACGTGCTCCGGGTTTCCAATTTACTTGCTCAGGCCGTATAAATACACTCGGTGAACGCAATTATTTATAAGGTGTAAAGCAACACGTCCGTAGATAATTAAGTTAGCGTGGCATACATACTGATTTGTGTGATAATATGCTTGATAGCCTTCAAAGCAATTTTCGTGTATGAAATCGTTCTTCGGAATTTGGATCCCTTCCGGTAGGACCCGTCATCTTACTTATAATCAAGCCGTACAGACAAAAATACCTATGTAAAAATTTGAAAAAAGTCAGAATTCCGGTGAGCATAAGATAAACTTATGTACGTCTGCCGAGTCTGTCCGTTTTTGTTTTTGCAGTTCGGCGGTAACTATGTGTTTTGTGGTGTTAATATAAGAGTCCTCACGTATTGCTTTTAAGTGGTTCATGGCTGTTGAGTCTAGTGTAATCTTTACGACATAAGAGGGGATACTCGACAAAAACGATATTAATTCATTTTTTCGAAACTTAAGACGACACCCTAGAACATTAATTGCCTTAAAAATACTGACTATTAGATGATATGCACTTGTCCTCCCAACGGGTTTTCTACTGTTCGAAACATTTTCCGCATTCTGAACTAATGACGGTTAAGTGCCCCCAGTGATTTTTTCATAATGTTTTCTACGGCCTGAAATCGCTTTCCCTTCATTCTCAGGAATAATAAAAAGTCGCGGTGGTGAGAACCCAGTTTTTGCCGGAAACGCTGTGTGGGCGGGCGCCTCGTCCTGCTGCAACGGCCAGCTCCCCGATGGCCGCAATTCAGGTCACTACTTTTCCCCGTCTCGCGTAATCGCTTCAGCACTTACAACAGATAGTAATTCTGGTTCATGAGGAACAAATTCAGCGTGAACGACTCCCCTGGATTTCGAATAAAAAACAAACCACACGTGAAAGCCTTACTCCCTAAAGTTTGGCATCAAAAAATTGCCGAGAGCGTTGGGGAGGGGGGTGGTGTTTAATAAAAAAAAACAATCAGTCTGTTGATTGCAATTTTTTCTCTTGAGTGCTGCGTGAGACTAACCGAAGAGGATAAGTCTAGTGCAAGTAGCTAGCGGGAGAGGGAACTACTATAAACCCATTGGCGTGCAGAAAACGAATTCCCTCTTTCTTGGTTAACTGCTCGCGTCTAGGAATTACTCTCGTCGGTAGAACCTTCACTGGTCAGGTCTCACTGGACTTGTTAATCCCGTAAGGGCCCCTGCAAGCCTGCTCCCATTAGAGTCCCAGGTCATTCAAAATGAGAGTTGTGAATGGCTCGCTGGCGAGGGCTTATAAGCCAGAACTGTCCATCCTAGTCTCCGTTGTCGATCTGCCGCTGC